TAATATATAGATAACTAGTGTTATGGACTAAGTTTACAGCAGGATATGTACCGAATATAATATACAGGTGGATATCACTGTAAAAAGGGTTTTTACAGCTATATACAATAGCATATATACAGTTAGGTTTTACTATAAAATGAATAAATAAAGTTTGCACAGAAGCTATCTAAATTAAAGTGCAGTGGAAGGTAATTGCGTATTACAGTTTAAGTACGTTAATGGAAATGTGTATGTAAACAATTGGTACTGTGAATAAACAGTCAGCAGTGCAAATATAAACAGTCAAAAATGCATTCGCCAAGAGTCTCATGCTCTACCGACTGAACTAGCCGAGCTTTTTCCTCCCATTCCAGAGCTCCTTACACATACGAAAATGCTTGTGATGTAAAACAATGTTCAAGGGGTATGATTACTTTTCTGAGGCACAATATATGTCATAAGAAGGTCAAAGAACATATGGCACTTGGTTCAGGCAATGCTTCTCTCTTTTCAGCCCAGGAACGACGGAAAAGGCAAGAAAAAGAGAACAACAGACTCGAAAGCACCAACAGAGGTACAAAGCTGGCAAAAAGTCCTGTAGCTTTATGTCTGTTTAGTCTCAGTAACCTTAACGAAACCTACATCTCAACATCTCTCAGTAAACCGATTGCTTCCTCTGCACTGATCTGAAAATTATTACTAGCCAGGACAGATAAAATCTTTCTTTTCAAAAAATAAATACATCTAAGGTTGAAAAAAAAATTAACATTTAACTTTGATTTTGGAGAACTAGATGCAAGTTTAAAGGGTTTAATTAGTAGTAACGATAATTGCCCTCATGTTAGCCTCGAGTCATTAAACCAACAGATGAGTTTGTCTATGTTTTGGTCCGACTTGATTTATCTTAAATAGTTTTCTTTATCTCATAGTTTCTCAATCTTCTAAGCTTTCCGTTTGCATTTCTTGTGTTGGTTGGTTGGTGTGAAATTCTATCAATCAGACTTGAAGCAACAGGTGGAAGAGCTGGAAAACTGCTGCAAAGCCAGCCCTAACTGTGAAGGTCAGAGATCATCAATGACTATCACTGTGTAGATGAAGTTCTACTGATTCGTTTAGTTGAATTGTTTTTTTTTAATTGAACGTCTCATATAACAGACCAAAATAGACAGCTGCAGCAGTGCCAGGAGGATGCAGATCTTCTCCATCAGTTCCTTCAGGAAAAGGACGCCGCCCTCAAACAGCTGCAGGATGAAATCGAGGAACTGCGCCAGGAGAAGGATCAATTGCAGGAGGACTACGACAGTACGTTTCCCTCAGAATCACAAGCTAAATATGTGCTCAGACCAGAACCATCAAGGCATGTTTTTATTTTTTTGCTCAGATGTAGTGAAGAAACTAAATAAGGTGGACGACAGGACCATCCATGGCGGTGAGTCACACTCAAGGGTTTTCACTATAAGTTTGGTGACAGATATTGCGTGCAAACTTTGTGTTCTACGTTTTTTTAAACATGTGGTGAATCAATATTTTTATTTTCCAGAGAGAGTCACCTGGGATCCAAATACGGCACATCCGAGAATAGTTCTGTCTGCCAACAACACCGAGGTATACACCACCAACAGGGTCCAGGTCCGGAACAACCCCGACAGGTTCGACGTGACACTCGGCGTCCTGGGTGCAACCGGCTACTCAAGCGGCCGCCGTTACTGGGAGGTGTATGTAGCGGAGAAGAACTGCTACCACATTGGGATGGCCAGCGATGCAGCAAGGAGGAAAGGGTCGTTAACCTTCAAGCCCTCATACGGTTACTGGACCATAGTCCTGAACAAACAGCAGGAACTCAAAGCCATTGATAGGAGATCTCACACTCTGAAGGTTAATAGGCTTCCCGTCACGCTGGGAATTCTGCTAGACTATGAGAAGGGACAGGTTTCCTTCTATGACGCTACAGCCAGATCGCATCTGTACTCGTTCACAGGTCACGATTTTACAGGCAACATCTATCCCTTTCTCAACTATTGTGTTGAAGATATTGATAATTCCAACCCAATAGTTTCACTTAATCCAGGATCAACTGACTGGATTAATTAAGCTACAAGTTCGGTTTTGTCACATTGTCTAACAAGCGTCTCCCTGGTGAACAAATGTTTTCACAGTGGAATATTCTACTGAATTAAAGGGCATTTACACATTTTGTCTTTGTGATTGTGATTATTTGTGACTTGTTTCTCCCGGCATTGTTAACATCTTTTCCAAAAAAAAAAAACAGAGTGCACCCAGTCTTATAAACTTGTTTTAATGAAACCAAACCATCCAACTTCATAAAAAACACAACATGGTTTTAATATTAACATGTTTGTCTTGAGAAATATTACAAATCTGTAGAAAAACTCACATCAAGTGATCACAAAGGATTCATCACAGTAAAGAACGGAGTTCTCTGAGTGTAAAAAACAAAATAGGGTTTGGTTTAGAAAAGCAGGGACACTCTAGTAAGCTGATGGAGAGATTTCCTTCAATAGTATCCAATGAAAATCTAATAATATCTAAACAAAGAACTCCCAAAGTTCTGGTTCTACATAGACATAAACTGAAATCACTTAAGTTTATTCACTTATTTTACTGAGCTTAATAAAAATTTGGGATATTCTCATAATTCCTTCATTCCCTGGTCCCTACTCAAAACGACAAAAAAAGCCGAAGCCCATTTTTTCTCTTTGGTGCATTGCAGCCCTTTCGGAAATAAACAGGAATTGGTCAGAGTCGGTAAGTCAGACCTCAAAGGAAAACTGGAAACATTTATCAGCCAGGAAAATCCTCACTCGTGCGGCTCCAGAGAGAGTCTAAGAATTTTTTTAAGACTTTGACCGCAATTTGAAGTGAAAAAAAACTATTCATACAAGGTTATTTATTTCAGGATCGTATCCCCTGTCCAGTTGCCTGCATGAAAAATATCTAATGAAGTTGCTCCAATCAGTTTGCATTTAATGGGAGTTTTTATTCAAAAAGAATGCGCCTCTCTCTGTCTATCCATCCATGTACTCATCCGATGGTTATCCACCATCCATCAGTTCTGTTTGCATTGACAGTTTCAAAAATCCACATTAGAAGTCTGAACAGTGTATAAACCTTTGATTTAAACTCATACTTAACTTTGCTTTTCTAAAGTTGGCTGAGAGATCTAAATAAATGAATCTGGGAAAAAAAAATGTAAACTCATAGGTGTGGGAGAACCCTAAAGAAACCCTACCACAGGCTCCCTGCAGCCTCTGATGGAGAGCTGGTATTATTCTCTCCCTGCTGTGCCTGCTACACTCCTGTAGAAGTGGGAAACAAACATGGGGTCCTTCTCTTCCAGCATGTGCAGAAAATGATTCCTCTCATCTTCCCCCCAGGACTCAAACCACTGGGTCCACAGCCGCAGCTGGCACTCGAAGATGTTGGGAAGTTTGTCTTTGACCTGTCAGAATGCAACAATTAAGTCAAAAAATGTTGTGTAATCCCAAAAGGTGTGTCTAGACCAGAGGTGTCAAGTAACGAAGCACAAATACTGTGTTAGTGTACTTAAGTACTTTTTAGGTATCTATACTTTACTTTACTTTATCCTTGTCCGGAAGTTTGGATTCTGTTCTGACGAAGTGAAACTGAACTTGTTCAGATTATATTGCACATCACTGTATACGGCACATTTGTGGTGCAACTTTAAAAAAGCCAGTTTTCATAAGTTGAAGGTGGCTTATAATGATGCACTAAGACTTTTGTTAAATAAGCCCAGATGGACCAGTGCCAGTAAATTGTTTGTATCTGTTAGTGTCAGGACTTTTATGGCTGTTTTGAGAAAGCTTATGTATAAATTTATTTGTCGTCTAAATGAGTCTAATAATAGAATTATTTTACTGATGACCAATGGCAAATATAGTGCAGTTAAATACTCATCTGTGCTTTGGAGACATTGGTATAATTACCTCCTGAAGGGTTAGGCACCTTCTCTGTTGTACTCTTATTCTTTTTTATTCTTAGTGTATCTGTTTTCTTTTAATGTATATTGGACCTTGAGTCTGTAATAATAAAATCAATTAAATCAACTCCATTACTTATTTTTCTTCTTACGTCTGACTTCTACTCATTACATTTTCACACAAGTATCTGTACTTTCTATTCCTTACATTTTTAAAACAACATTACTCGTAACTCTTGGCTTCGGTTTAATGTTTATAAATATTTATTTTACATCATGTGCTCCATCCAATGCAGATCATTGGCTCCATCCACATCTAGTGAAAACTAGTATAATTGGATGAGTCATATAACGCAAACACTCATTGGTTAGTTAAAGGAAATCATTAGAAGCAAGCAGGTGTTCTTCAAACTGCAAACGTGAATTATCTATGCCATGCTACAATGTTAGATTGAGTACAAGATGCTGAAATGTCAGAAAGGTCAGACACAGGCGAGAGCGTATCGGGAGACGGAGACCAACAAGACCTCCCTCATCCTTGGCCCTATCTCAAAGAAGTTTTAGAAATAGTCGTAAACTGAGCTTTTCGATTTATATAGTGGAATCTGGCTTTCTTTCTTTAAGGGATATTTTATACTTTAAGTAGTTTTTGGAGCTCATCCTTTTTCACTTTGACTTAAGTAAAGAGGTAAAGTTGATACTTCAACTTTAACCAGTATTTTTTAGAAAAGTCAGTATCTATACTTTCACTTAAACCTTTATAGGGCACTCAGTGAAATACTTTGAAAATCAAAATTTCACTTGAAAAAATATGTAGATATAAGTACAAATTTCTTAAATTAGGTGTATTTACCCTTAATTTTAGTTGGTAAATGAGATAGTTTGCCAATGGAGTGAGTATTTTTGCTCTTAGAATAAGATAATTGGATAACATGCACTTGATATAAGACAATGAAGTTGTGTCTTCTTATTTTAAATGTAAATTGTCTTGTTCCATTGGCAAGGTGTCTCTTTTGCCTCCTCAATCCAAGAACAAATGCACTTATTTTAAGAAAGATTAAATTTACATTTTTTCCAGTGTTCTTGCTAATAGTGTTATTGGAAACCAGGAAAAGAACCTTATTACCATTGTAACATAAAAAAAATTGATATTTTGATGGCAGAAATTAATGTAAATGTAATAACAAGAAACGCCAGTTTTCCCAAATATATTAAGAAAAATAACAAAAGCGTTTTTTTTAAGAAACTCATGAAAAACACTCTAAGAGTGAGAGAAACACATTTTTTGGTACAGCATAGCCTTATAGGCAATGGCGTAATGACACAACAATAGGCAACATTATCTGGGTGCTCCCCATGTGAAGTACAACACCCGGTTCACCTGACACCAGTTCATCTGTTATTTACTCCACCCTGTGTTTTAAACCTAGCTGGCTTGGCAGCCATTTAATTAGGTGACGTCATGGTTAGGGATTTAATCTAATCTGGATTACACATAATTCCAAGTCGTAGTGTAAAAAAAAACTCAAATACATTGTTCTTTTAAGATCTTTATTGCGGTTTGAAACATATTATATGAGTGTATTTTTTTTTACCAACTGTCTAATAAACTATACTCAGTTATAAACATAGTAATTAAAAGTACCACTGTCTGCTTTGCTATTGGTGTTGTGTTTAAACGCCTCACCATCATGTTGAAATCTGGCATGTGTTGGGGTATGAATAAGGTCCATTCAACTAAATTAGGAACAGAAGGGTGTAAGAGAAATTTTTGGCACAATTACATCTGCAAAGATACGTATGACCTAGTCCACAATTGCGCAGGGGGGCTACCGGGTGTTCATGACGGGGCCCCTAAGAGGTCAGAAGCCCCTATGCAACTGCAGTCTCCGCTTACCGATATTTACTCCCTTGCTAAGAGGCATCAAACCTAAATGTAATTGTTAACTAGGCTTATTAACTTTTAAACTTTTCAATGATTGCCCAATTTTTAACAAGCACGTCCAGGCGTGAACATATTACCCCTGTGCTATCGTGACTCAACTGGCTTCCAGTCCGTTTTAGAATTGATTTTAAACTTCTGCTGTTTGTTTTTAATGCCATTCATGGCCTGGCCCCCTCTTACTTGTCTGAGATTTTAAGTTTTTGCAATTGTGGCAGAGCTTTGAGCTCCTCAGGTCAGCTTCTGTTAGAGGTACCAAGGTCAAGACTCAAACAGTGGGGCGATCGTTCTTTTGCCATCGCTGCTCCCAGACTGTGGAACAAACTACCACCTGACATCCGCACCACTACTGACCTCAGCCTTTTTTTTTTTTTTTTAAAAAGCTAAAGACCCACTTTTTTTAAATTAGCATTTAATTCTGACTAGGGTGTTATGTGTTGTTTTATGGCTTTGTTGTAAAGTACTCAGGGTACCATTTGGCTATTGTAAAGGGCTATACAAATAAATTTGATTGATTGATTGATTGATGAGCTTTTTACCTTTTTTTTCTTGACTTAACTTTTTTTCTTCAAATTTAATTTATATTAGGTAATATATCATCCAAGGGCTCATCTAGTTGGGCAAATACCAAAATAAGATGTGCAGCCATGTAGCAGGATCTTTGCTGAATGGCTGGATATAGATCTAGTGCTTCTAGATTTCACTAAGGGACGGGGGGACTCCATTTATAAGGGGTCTACAAGTGATCAAAGAAAGTAACTTGCCCTATAAAGGGTCGAGTAACAAATGTGTGTAGTTTTGACACCACTGGTGTAGACCTGGGACAGTTATAGGATTACCTGAAGGGTACTGAGTGAGTCTAGGAGGGTGCACACTTTCCCCGGCACGGCTTTCCCGACGAGATCCTGCAGGAACCTCTCCTTCTGGGGAGCATTCCAGCCTTGGAACCAGCTCAGGACGCAGCGCTGCTCCTGGAAGGTCACATAGGAGATGGGCTCTGGTTGTCTGTCACGGCCAGAACAGGTGAGCTTCTCCAGGCTGGGAGGACTTGTTGCACCGGGAGGAACCGATGGGAGGTCAAACGGGCCCGTGGAGGACAGGCCTGCCCCGCCGATGCTCTGGATCGCTGATCCTGCTGGAATACTTGTGGGATTAAAGGGACTACTGAGGATGTTGGAGGCTGTAAGTCGTTGGCCGTCAGCGGCCTGCTGCTGGTATGGACCCTGACTGACCTGACTAAACCACGACATTTCTGAGGAGGTAATTTCAGTCAGGAAAAGTTCCCTTAACAAGTCTGAAAGGCGAGCGGCAGAAGAAAAAACACCTCCCTGCTTTGTTTACATGCAGCTTAAATAAAAGCACCGCCGGGGCGCTGATTTAAAGTGAGCATCTTTTAACAGCAGCTGTTTAATTAAGAAACGTGGCGTTCTTCAAACTTTAACTACGTCATTTTTGCTCATATTTTGAGCACAGTAACGTCTGCTTGGCAGTAATCCTGTAGCTGCAGAAAATACACAGAAAACCGGAAGCCGTCTACAAGAACAGATCCTCGGGGGGGGAAAGTTGCGCACGTTTTGCGCAAGATGTTGTTTTTAACTTTTAAAAAGATTAAAAACACGAATGAGAATGTACGATATAGAAAACATATGAATCCATGCTATTGAATTGTGTAATCTGTTATATTTATTTCATATCGATATTGTTTATAGTTGTAAGAGGTGTTGTGTCCAAAACTGTTTCCATCAAATATTCCACCGCGTTCAAGCTGTTGCGTTTTTACTCGACGTTTTACGGCCACTGGCAATAAATCGTCATGGTGCATTCAAGTACATCTTGTACAGTAAGATATATATTTTAATTTCAAATACAGTCCTATTAAAATAAATATATTAGGTTACTTAAAAACCACTCTGATACATTTTGATACATTTCTGATACATTTCCATGAATGAAATTGACTGTATGATATATAACTTATTTTTTTTATGTTATTGAATAAAAAAGAAAATGACAAAACAGTTATGAAGGATTAGGTGGTGTTTTAATGTTTCAATTTTTTCTTTTCTTGCTCAGCCCGAGAGTACTAGTCTTTTCACCTTGTAGATAATTCAAGCAATTTTGTGATTTATTGTCCTCAAATTAAGCATAAGAGCAGCAAAAAATTGGAATTATCTTGAAGTTTCAAATGTGTATATCGAACTCTGTAAGCTTTCCGTAGTGTGTACAAAAATTTAAAATGGACATTTTTGAGTTACAGTTCTCATTGAGGCTACCAGGACCATAATTCACCCCTTAAGTAGCTGCTATATACCTTTCTCCCGTTTTGGCTTTACCTGAGAATTCCTCATTGGAGAAAATACATAAAAATCATCAAATTATTTTTGATATTTTTAATCTAATAGGCAGTTTGACATTATGGAAGAGGATTAGGGCCGGTGAAAAAATGAAAAATAAGTTAACTGTTTTTTTGTTTTGTTTTTTTTTTTACTTTTAATTCAATTTAATATGGGGAAAAAGTCAGAATTCTGTCAGAAAGTCAGAAATTTTAATCTCAGAATTCTGACTTTAATCTCAGAATTCTGACTTTTTTTCTGAGAATTCTGACTTAATCTCAGAATTCTGACTTTTTTCTCACAATTCTGACTTAAATTTCAGAATTCAGATTTTTTTTCTCAGAACTGTGACTTTTTTTTCCTCAGAATTCTAACATTAAAGTCAGACTTCTGACTTTTTTCTCATTATACTGAAAAAAAAAAATAAAAATCAGTTAACTTTCTCAGGATTCTGACTTTTTTTCTCAGAATTCTAAGATTGAAGTCAGAATTCTGACTTTTTTATACTGAAATAAAATTTTAAAATCAGTTAACTTTTTTTTCAGTGGCCCTAATCCTCTTCCGTATGACCTTAATGCAACACTGAAGCCGTAAAACCTAGTGCGAAGCCGCAACTGAAAAGCGAAGGCGCGTCGTCACAGGGCAACTCGATTTGTTCCACCACCGGGAAGTGGAAGGCCGTGACGCAGGGTGGAGGAAGGCGGTGCTCGGCGTACTCGCTGGGAACTGACTAGAGGAACGGAAAATGGCGGATCTCGAAGACGTTACGCTGGACGGGAGACCGCTCCAGTCGCTCCGCGTAGCAGACCTTAAAGCGGCTCTGGAAGAGCGGGGGCTGTCGAAAAGCGGACAAAAGAATGCTCTCGTCAAAAGACTTAAAGGGGTAAGGGTTTTACCGCAGAATGCGGTTCCGCTGGAGGATCCCCAGCTAGCGTTAACGCAGAGACGGGCTGATGCTCTCCGGAGAGGGCCGATAACTGAGTGTCGTTACTGCCTAGATGAGGAGTGGAGTTTTACAAACGGACCTCAGAGGTTTATTGCGTGCTTGTTTGGTATACTTGCTCATTGCAGTTCTGTTTCTCCAGCCCCACCGGTCTCTTAGCTTGCAGCGCAGTTCAGTTAACTTCTTAGCTAGCCATAAACTGTTTGTTGTGCTGTTAGCCTGTTAGCTTCCCGTTGCTAACGCAGCGAAATGAGCGCTGGCCTGAGCCGCTGGCTCGCTGCTGTGTACACACTGCTGTCCACAGCAAAATAAACCCAGATAGTGAGCTGCGGTGGCCTCTTTTTGTCAGTCATGTTTGTTTGTGACACTTTGTTTACATTCGACAGATTCCGCCATGAAACTTGGGATCATTCTCTGTCCCGTCAAACACCGCGGTCTGTGCAAGCTGTGCCCGCTGAACTGTAGTAAATAATGTAGTACACAAATGTCAGTGCTTGAAACCTTTTGATATATATTTTTAACTTTTTATGTGAAGTCGTAAATGTCAACAGAGCTTATTGACATTTCATATGGCAAAGTATTAGGGTTCCTTTGGGACTTTATATCACTTGTTGCTACATTGTGTAAATGTTTTTGACACATTATGGTTTTATTTGAGCAATGGTAGGGAGAAAATGACGACACTTTTCATTATATTACATTTTTAATTAGTATTTAATAACTTGTGCTTACTTCTTAAATTGTGCATACATGCAGTTCATTAATCTGCTGTATGTAAAACTTAGACTTATTTAGTTTTAGTCATTTTTTTAAGTAGCTCCCAGTGTCAACTTCAATTCAGTTTATTTCTATTGCGCCAATTCACAACACATGTCATTTCAAGGCACTTTACAGTTCACCAGATCATACAGTCAAATAGATTCAAAGTTTTCTATCTAAGGAAAACCAGTGGATTGCATCAACTCATTGACTCAGATGCAATCCCTCAAACCAAGCATGCTTGAAGCGACAGTGGAGAGGAAAAACTCTCTTTTAATGGGAAGAAATCTCTGGCGTGACTTAAATTACTCTTGTTTACTTTTAATAAGCTTGCTTAATTTCTCTAAACTGTATCAATAAAGATATACAGATATCATATCACAAACTAAGAAGATGGATGAAATAATTTGCTTACATAGTGTTTTGCAAAGATTTAGGCCCCATCGCCTTTTTAAAATTTTGTCACATTATATTCTCAGAATGGAATTATATGTTTGTGGCATTTTATGTGATGTAGATATACACCACCCTTTGCATACATCTTTCAGCTGCTTACTTCGAAATGTTCATGTGTGGTGGGATCTGTTTGATGACTGTTGGTCTGGAAGCCTGACATAAAGTCCAGTGCAACCAGCTTTCTTCAGAAGTCATTAAATAAGTATTCAACCAGCTTTGAACTTCACACGGAGTGTTTTAGAAATGGCCTTCTGCTTAGACTGAGAATGCAAGGATAGTTCAATTCGGATAAAAAATTATCTAATGTTGTTGCGTAACTACTAGGGGTTTCTTCAGTGAGTTGTTGGAGATGTTGATGGAGGTATGGGAGAGGGATCTTCAGTAGCAGCCTGCCTTACTGCAGATATGGAGAAGCCTTTGACTGACACTGTTGTTGCTTAACATTCTACTGAGGAGGATGCTCACGTCTCTTCATAGCGTCCTTCATTTTATGAAAAATCCCTCTTTGTAAAATCTCTAGATTCTAAAGGGCTTCCCTGAACAAAACTGTCTTTTTTTTGTGAGCTTGTTCAGCTTCTTTAAGTCATTGGCTTTGAAGCTGTGACCCCAACAGATGCTGGGAGAAATTAACAATCACACCCACAAACATCAGGATGCATATTGTGACTGTGTTAGTGTGGGAGTAACTCTTGATAGGACAACTGCAAATCATTTGCTCGCATAAATTGCATATAAATTAATGGAAGCTTGATGAGAAAAGCCATGCCAAACTATTCTAAATGAAAGCTTAGTGATATAAAAAATAAAAATCACTACACATCCGTCTGAACGTATAATCCCCAGAGTAAAACCTGCTTGATAGTAGAACCATGGTTTCTAAAAACAGAAAGAAAGCAGAAAGAACAGCGTTCCCTGAAAAAACAAATACCTAATTGTAAGGCTAAAACTTCAGCAACACTTCAAGTACTTTGTGTTAAAGTTTTCACTTTACCAGTTTAATGATCCTCTTCATCCACCAATTTTCGCCACCTCTCTTGGATCCAAACAAAATGTAATGCACATAAAATCTAAGAAATACCATCCATCTACCAGTCTTCTCCTGCTTAATATTGTCAGGGTCGTGGTGGTGGTGGGCGAGAGGCCGGGTACAACCTGGACAGGTCACCAGTCTGTTGCAGGGCAACACGGAGACACACAACCATACACACACACACACACACACACACTCTTTTAATTTAAATTTAGAGAAGATAATTAACCTAACAGGCATGTTCTTGGACTGTGGGAGGAAAGCTGAGTTATGAGAAATACCTTTTATCTTAAAAAAAATAAAATAAAAGGGATCCATAGACACCATTAAAATAAATAAGCGATTAAATAAATTAGGGGTATCCCACAATGATCTAAGCAGTTACTAACTGAAAGTATTCCTGTTTCAGAATGGTCATGGCAGAGGGAGTGTTTGAGTTTTGATACCGGTCTGTTTTTATTAACCGGGCTCTTAGTTCCCTACCAAATGTCACCAGCCCAAAAGACGAATGCAGAGGATGAATTAGATTTTTGTAGATCTGAATCACTGTTTTCGTCAAAGCCCATTTATGTAAATCTGCAGTAAGGATTTTGTGGCGACTCTTTATTTTACTGGTCTGTTTTACAACCTGATACAACTCATCTTCATTGGAGAATCTAGTTGACGGTTTTACGACTTATTCTGCATCCATTCTGACTGAGAAATAATTAAAAAAAATCACAGCCTCACTATATGCAGTCCTGGTAGACACACTCTGAACGATATAAAAGTGTAAAAAAAAAAACAAATATGGTTCTAATAAGTACAGACTCATGCACAGATTTAATTGAATAGCCGAATTTTTCAGATTTTTTTTATTTCCAATACTAAAAGTTTTTCCTTTGCTTCATACTTATTAATTACGTGTTTATATATAATTTTTTAATACTGGTAAAATCCATTAAGAGGTGGGCTGCTTAGTGGTGCTGTGGGTAGCACTGCTGCCTTGCAGCAAGAAGGTTCCGGATTTGATTTCCAGCCGGGGTCTTTCTGCATGGGGTTTGCGTGTTCTCCCTGATCATGTGTTGGTTCTCTCTGGGTACTCCGGCTTCCTCCCACAGTCCAAAAACATGACTGGTAGGTTAATTGGCTTCTCTCCTTAGGTGTGAATGGTTGTCTGTCTCTGTGTTGCCCTGCGATGGACTGACGACCTGTCCAGGGTGTACCGCGCCTCTCGCCTCTAGACAGCTGGAGATGCCCAGCATCCCTCATGACCCCGTTCGGGATAAGCGAGACAGGAAAAGAAATGGAATGAAAAAAAAATCATAAATTGTTTTGTTGTAATTCAACACAATGTTTAAAAGTAAAATACTGTAACTTAATTCTGGGGAGTGGTACTCTCCATGTTTCTCCCTTAATAATAAATATTCTTGTCTCATTAACAGGCTCTCATGCTGGAGAATTTGCAGAAAACCTCTACTCCACATGTTGGACTGCAGCCTAACTCTCAGGTAAACCTCAAAGATGCTTTTATTTTCAATTCAAAGACTGACAGTCTTTTTAAGTACTAATGTCTGATGTATAAATAACTGAATGTGTGTTAACACAATTCTTCATAGATTTTTGGTGAAGGTACATTCAGTTGGCTCTGCAGGATTGCACCTGCTAATTTTTTTTCCTCTTTTTTTCTCTTGTAATATATCTATATTTAGATTGGTGAGGAAATGAGCCAGAACAGTTTTATCAAACAGTATCTGGCCAAGCAGCAAGAGCTCCTGAGGCAGCGTCTTGAGAGAGAGGCCCGTGAAGCATATGATACAAATGGTAAGAGCTGTAGGAAATCCCATCAGTGTTATTTGTTGTGGACTTTGTTGGATTGTTGTAAAAAAAAATTGTAATTTTCCTTTTGTAAACAGAGCAAGAGGTCCACACACAGGTTAACAACAGTACGCCATGCCCTCCTCCTGCACAGGTTTGGATGTGTTTTTTTTTTTTTTTTTGTTATGTTTGTTGTTGTTGTTAGTTCATGCATGCAGAATGTTTTAACATTTCCTTGGGATACGTCAATGGGCCATGTATAAATCTGCACCTTAAACTGTTTCCATTTTTGCCAGATTATAATCTTCAACTTTGACCTTCTTTGTGGAAAGTTGAAAAAAATATGGATGTTTTTTGGGGGGTTTTTTTGGTTTGTTTTTTCCCACTTATAAACTGAAAGTTTTGGTATTCATTTGTATTCAACAAGTATGAGTCAATGCTCTGAAGAATGTCTTTTTGCTGCTGTAACAGCGGAGAATTGTACTTCCAGATGTAGATATTTTTCCCTATTTTTCTGGTATTTGGATTATGCTAAAAGTGAGTAAGATTAAAAGAAGAGAGTCTTTGAACATCACACATTTAAAGTCTTGCTACGTATATCATAATTAGATTAAGATGTGACTATTGACTGGGTCATTCCCACACACATATGCTTTCACCAAAACCTTTTAATTGTATTTCTTGGTGTTGGTGCTTGGTGTTTCTTGGCTAAAACAACTAATCAGATTAATGGTGATTTATTGATTATTGAAATTATTGTCAACTAATTTAGTAATTGATTAATTGTCAACTGAAGTATAGTCTCTAAAATATACCTATAGCTGACAGGGCAACCCACTTAGAGCAGAAATTATACCAAGATTGTGTGGAGAACAAAATGTCTGTCAGTTTGCTCTATCTAGAGCTCCACAAGTGGGAAAGTTTTTTACCTGGTTTAATTTCATAAAAAGTCTTCTTTAAAGATTCTTTGGCTATCGATTATTAATCGATTAATCTCAGAAGAATAACCAACAGATGAAATAATTTACAAAGTAATTATTAGTAGCAGCTCTATTGTATATAAAGACTTGTTGTTCTGTTAGAATGGGAACTTTGACCCTAGTTGTGATTTCTTTTTTTTTTTTTTACAAATTTTCTTTATAGTAAGTTCTATGGACTATTTTATTAAATCTGACACGCTTTTTTTTCCTAACCTCTAAAAAAACAAAAGCGTAACATTATAGCGTGACCACACACCAGAGTCAGAGTGCTCAGATTTCTGTGCAATGTTATTTTTTTGCACACAGAATTTTGCACATCAGAAAAAGTTTGTTTTGGTGTCATCTAGCCCGGACACCTTTCTCCATAGGTTTTCTGTGATTCTGTTGTGGACTTATGGCAAACTTTTAATCGCACTTCTTTGAGCAATGTTTTGTTTTTCATAAAGGTAATTTACACATGTGGACTAAACAGACAATTTCTCTTTAGCCGACACATGCTTCAACCTTAGCTTTTGATCTCTGGAGCTCCTCCAGACATTGTATAAGTGTCTTGGCTGTGTTCCTGTTAAATGTTCTCATTGTTAAGTCTTTCAGATAGGTAGACAGGCAAGTCAATTTTAAAGGCATTCTATTTCACTGGGTATTGTGACTATAAAAACTGAATTAATTTAATAAGCAGAAAATTATGTTTACATTAGTTTGGTTATATGGTATTTTGCCTCTATAAACCAAATCGCTACCATTAATGCATTGAAGGGAATGTAAAACTTTTGTGAATCATTTTGCTAATTATGATTTTCCTAATCAATTCTTATTTTGCTACTTCTTAGGAAGTCACACCAGCAGGGCAGCACAGACCACCTGGGTCCTCAGATGGAGAGGGATTCTTTGGTTCAGTTAATTCAGGACAGGGAAACAGGAGTCAGGAGGCAGATGTGTCCAGTCCCCCTGCTTCTGGCTCTAAGGCCATGCGAGCTCCTGCCTCAGAGCAGAGGTCAGAACGAGGTTCGGCTTCCGGTGAAGTTGCAGGCGAAAGCGATGATGATGACAGTGAGGAAGATGGCGATGATGATGAAGACTGGGGAAACAGGGCTCCAAGAAGAAGCCTCAGAGAACCAGCCAGAGTACCTGCAGCACGGTCTGGTGCAGCAAGGTCTGGTCCAGCACGTTCCGGTCCGGCACGGTCTGGTGCAGCACGTCATCCACAACCTCAGCAGCAGCACATTCCTTCCCTTTTGTCACCTCAGCTCCGCCAACCAACACCACCTCCATCCCCACCTCCAGAATTATCATTTCCCTTACCTGACACCCCAAAGCAGAGCCCACCTAGTCCCCCTGTTGCCAGGCACTCGCCAAGCTCTTCCAGCTCTGGCTCCTCCAGCAGCGGCAGCCGCAGTAGCAGCCCAGAGCCACAGAGAAGTGGCCATGCTGACCGTAAGCCAGGTCCTCTTACCCTTCTGGCACGTAAAATGGAGTCTGAGGGTGCCTTTTCTGGAGGTTGGCACGGTGCTGATGGTAAAGGTGATGGGCAAGATGGCGGTTCACCCTCACTTATGGCGTTTCCTGGCAAAGGGCCACCAGATGGTCTAGGGTCTGCCAGTATAATTCCAGGCACACATTCAGCCCACATCCAAAAATCTGGGAGAGCACGCAAAACAGCTGCAGCCCAGGAAAGAGAGAGGGAAAGGATGATGGAGCTGGAAAGACAAAAGGCACTTGAGCTGGAGAGGCAAGAACAGGAGATGATTGAGCAACAGTTGGCTTTAGAGAGAGAAGAGAGAGAAAGGGTCTTGCAGCGAGAGCTTGCTCTTGAAAAAGAGAGACAGGAGCGGGAGGAGGCTTTGGCTAAAGAGAGGGAGGAGCAAGAGAGGGCGATAGAGATGGAAAGGCAGAGAGAGCTTGAAAGACGTAGAGCTTTGGAAGAACGTCTGCAGAGAGAGAGGGAAGAGAAGGAAAAACGTGAACGAGAGGAGATGGAGAAGGCCTTAGAGCTAGAAAGAGCCAAGGAGAAAGAACGGATAGAGAAAGAACGGGCTCTAGAGCAAGAGAGGTTGGAGAGAGAGCGGGTGTTGGAAGCCGAGAGAAAGGAGAAGGAAAGGCTTGAGAGAGAGAAAGCTCTTGAGCAGGAACGATTGGAAAAGGAAAGGATAGAGAGGCAGAAGGCACTGGAGCAGGAACGATTGGAAAAGGAAAGGATAGAGAGAGAGAAAGCTCTTGAGCAAGAAAGAATGGAAAAGGAACGTATTGAGAGGGAGAAAGCTCTTGAGAAGGAAAGATTAGAAAAGGAAAAGAGAGAGCGAGAGAAAGCACTGGAGCAGGAACGATTGGAAAAGGAAAGGATACAGAGAGAGAAAGCTTTTGAGCAGGAACGATTAGAAAAGGAAAGGATTGAGAGGGAGAAAGCTCTTGAGAAGGAAAGATTAGAAAAGGAAAGGATAGAGAGAGAGAAAGCCCTTGAACAGGAAAGGTTGGAAAAGGAAAGGATAGAGAGAGAGAAAGCTCTTGAACAGGAGAGATTGGAAAAGGAAAGGATAGAGAGAGAGAAAGCACTGGAGCAGGAACGATTAGAAAAGGAAAGGATAGAGAGAGAGAAAGCTCTTGAGCAGGAACGTTTGGAAAAGGAAAGGATAGAAAGGGAGAAAGCTCTTGAGCAAGAACGCTTGGAAAAGGAAAGAGTCGAGAGCGAGAAAGCTCTTGAGCAAGAACGCTTGGAAAAGGAAAGAGTCGAGAGGGAGAAAGCTCTTGAGCAAGAGAGAGAACAGGCTTTACAGAAAGAAAAAGTAGAAAAAGAGAGGGCTCTAGAGCAAGAAATGCAGGACAAGGCAATGGAACAAGAGAAAGAGAGAGGGGGTAGTGTTTCTCCTCCTAGAAGTGGCACTAAGCTGGGTGTCAGTACCCAGGCTGCCCCAGAGCAGCAAAATGTCCGTACTTCTTTGGCACAGACTGAAGCTCAACCAGCTAAGTCTATTTCCACAACTGTCTCTCCACAATCATCATTTAAGAAGTCTCGCCTTTTCAGGGACTCTCCAGTACGACCTCAGTCCGGTTCAACCTCGATTGTTATTAAGCGGCCTCGTACATTTTCTGATACCCCCCAGCCTCGAGCCCCTCTTGCCACCTTACCTACAAGCGCTGGGGAACGTCAGCCAGGACAACACTTGCCATCAACTGACCAAGAAGACGCACAAATTCATTCCAACCAAGATGTTAGCACTGCACCCGTAGCATCTACAAGGACTGGTTCTGACAGCCTGAACACCAACCCAACTCCAGCTCACTCAGATCCTAAAGAAGAAAGGCCCATGATGGCGAGAGAAGAGGCTACATTGCCAAAGACTGCAGAGCCTGTTGAGGGAGAAGATCAAAGCATAGATTCTTCAATCCCTGAAGGAAAGCAGGACAGAGAAGCAAATAAAGAAGGAAAAAAAGTACGACGGAGATCTTTATCGGATGATTCCTCTTCCTCAGATTCTGATTCCTCATCATCACGGTCATCTGGTTCATCGTCATCTTCTCAAGACCAACCAGTCTCCACCTCAAGGAGTAGACCGGTAAGCCCTCCAAATTCCAACTTTTTATCTAATTTTTAAATTTTAAATTATGTATTTGAAATTTATACTGCTCAAAATAATTAAGGGGATACTTAGAAAAATGTGTTAGATCTAAATTAAAGAAATTGAAAAAGATAAGAAATCAGGCTGGATATCAATACTGATATAGAAAGAGTAATCTGTTTTAACCTGGGGTGATTGCCTTTTATCTAACCTGATCAATGCACAGAGCATTGAAATGATGTAGAACCCTAGTCCTGTCTGCGTAAATGGCATTGCAGCAATGCATCCTACTATTGTAGAGCTATTCTAGTCCTGCTACCTTCTCTGCTCTGGTGTTCTCTCTGCCCAGCCTTTTGTTCTGCACTCCTGCTCCTCCTCTCTGAGCTCCTGAGTGCATCCTTGCCCTACCGCTGATATCTGGGTGATATGTCCCTAAAGCGGAATTACAGTTTTCTGGTCCTGGTCAGCTAATAGTACTGTGGTCCAGTTGTAGTTCCTGGGCTTTCGAATTGGGAGCACATTTGGAGGATACGGTGGACCCAGGGGCAGTAGCATTGATGGTTGGAATTTTACATTAAATACAGCAGTGTGACTAAATCTGTGAGCGTAAGGTCCACCATGTTAAGTTGAAACAGTCAAGCAGGTAGAATCTCTTCTTATTTATAGGCTGGTTAAGCATTATCACCATTTGCGCCATTGTTTGAAAGTCTAGACACTTTTCTCTACACTGTGTAATGGAGGCTTAACGGTAGCTTAAAAAATACCAAATCAATCACTGTGAAAAAATGTGTGTCTGCACCATATGTTGCATGTTTGTAGATGCTAGATGGCAAATGCTGCTGCTCCATTGGACTGGGTGATTTAGTACCACATATGGAAGTTGCTGTAATGGGATTTTTTTTTTTTGGTCAAAAAATTGGAACGTCCACATTTTGCACAAAGAAGGCAGATGGTTTGACAGGGGCGTGAAGGAAACCATCTATGTTAAGAAAGAAAAAACAACCTTAAACAGAGGGGGTGGACTCAGATTTCAGCTTTCAAAAAAACCTACAATGCAGCGATAGTTGATTCCTTCCCGTTGTCATCGCAACCCCCATTTTCATAGACAGGAACAGAAAACCTCGTCTGTTCAGCTAAGCCAACAATCCCCCCTAACAACCCCCCTTTCAGAGGCATATACAGGTATCAGGTATTGCAGGCTAACAAAAAGCCAAATGACCTCCATTCCTAACGGGG